TAAAATAATAATTAAATATTATATGGTGAACAACAATAAGTAAAACTGTTACTTTCTCTTATATCAAGGGATAAATTTATATGCTAAAATTAAATTTTTATTAGTATAAATGTTATAGTGAGATAATATATTAATTATTTTACAAGCTAGCCCTAACATGCTCATATTTAATATTTTAAAAGATGTAGAAAAAAAAACTTATAATAACTCTATTGTTTTTTAGACTTAAACGTTGATTAAAAGAGGTAAAAATTCCTAATTTTTTAGACTTAAACGTTGATTAACACCATAGATTGAAAGTTTATATTTAGTAAAATTCCTAATTGTAATAAAAAAATTAATTTTTGCTATATTTTAGAATATCTTAAAATTCATTATAAAAAAAAAAAGAAAAAAAACTACAATAAAAAGCAAGTCAGCTATATATCAATTTGTTATACACTTCAAATTACATTCACAATTTGGCTAGAAGGAAAGGAAACTCATTGATTAAAATATTATTTTGTCAGTAGTCTTAATGTACAAGAGACTTTAAGACTCCACTTGAATATTATAAAACTTTTATTGAATATTGTACAATTTTCTTGCATATTATAAACTTTTATTGAATATGACATCTTATAATATAATATTCTCCAAAATTTTTCTTTATTCATGTACTATATATATCTCGTACATTTTTCTTTATTCATGTATATAATTATAAGCCTGATAAATAGCCTTAAAATTATACATCTCGTGCATCGCACGGGCTCTGTACTAGTTGGATTATAAGGGTGTAATTTTTTTTATTAATAATAAATCCTGAATTGACATGTGATTAATGCCCGATACAATTGGATGTAAGATGCTTTAAACAATTTTGTCTCAAAATGGAAAGGTTAGAGGAAAAAAAATAGAAAATTATGATTTAAGTTCATTATGTAAAAGTGAGATGAAAAGGTGAAAAAAATTGATCTCCGACAAACTAAGATAATTTGATATTGTGAATTAATTTGAGATAAAAATATAGTGATTAAAGTTGATGCAATGTAAAAATAATAAAATACTCACTTATAATAGTAGTAGTTAAAAAATACATAAGTCGATATAGTTTGTTTTATTCATATATATATATAGCAACACTTATCTTTATTTTTTTAACTATGTAAGAGGAATTTTTTATTTTGTTTTCAGTTTTAATGAGATAAACTGAAAATATTTTATTTTATTTATTCAGTCACAACTTAAATGTCCCTGTTTTGTTAATTTTCACAAGTCATGTATGTTTCACACAATACAAATCGTTATATTAGATAATGACAGGAGCTTAAAATTCAAAATGGTACATTAGTCAAGAAAAATGACAATTTAATTTATTGTAGAGATTCAACCAAGTGGAATGGAATTACACAATTTTCAGTCTTTTTCATTATTAAAAATTGCAGTAATATGAAATCTGAGGTGGTAGGTGAACTAAAGCAGACTATTCTACTTTCGATTAGTTATTGATAATGATTTGATGTAATTATTTTCTTCATGTTTTGGTTTAGATTTTTGCTTAAGTCATGATAGACAGCTTCTAAATGCCCCACGTCCACCCATTTCATTTTTTTTTCCACAATTAAATTCAACCTTTTTAATTTAGTAATTTAAGGTGCGATTTTTCAACATTAGCAAATCAGGGTATGAATTAAGGTCTCAAAATTAGTGATTAATGATGTGGTGGACAATATTTTTTATATCAACAAGTTTCGAATGATTTTATACAAATTATTTATAATTTCCATTTTCCCGTTTCTCTAAATGAAAAGCAAAATTGATAGCATCTGCATTTTATTAATTAAACTGGTCCATAGTATTGAAGGAATCAAATGCATTTAGTCAGCTGGGTTTAATGCAAAATTGTAATTATTGCACAACTGACTACACCTGACTGGAAATTGAAGTCGGGTCCGTAAATATGCATAAAATTTTGACAAGTCAAAATTACTCTTACATGTTATTCGCAATTTTACTAGTACTTCTGGTATGTTGGGGAAAAACGAGTGCGGGCACACTAATATGCAGCGCATGAGGTTCCATCTTAAAATCAATTGGTGGAAGGAAGAGTAGCTCATTAGTCTTATAAGGTGGATTTATTTTCCATGTATGAACGATGTGAGACAACTCAAAAGTAATATTTTAACAGTGTTTTA